AAAAAAAAAAAAAAAAAAAAAGGGCAAAAGTCGAGTGGAGAGAGGAGAAGGGCATCACGTGTGGACCCGACGCTGCTCTCGACGCCTCTGCCAACTGGGTGGGCTCGTGCTAGCCAAAAGTCAGGCTTGATTCACCACCACCACCACCACATCACTCAACCTCACTCACTCTTCTTCGAGGCCGCGTCACGCATCCTGTCTCGCGAACATGCCGCCCAAGTCATCGGCTAAAGGCGGAGGCAGCGGTGGCGGAGGAAAGTCCGGCAACGCCGCCGCCTCTTCCAAAGCCAAGTCGCATCAGAACAAGGAGGAGGACCTCCAGCGCGAGCCGCTCCAGGCCGTCGTGCTCGCAGACGCCTTCTCCAAACGCCTCGATCCGCTCACCACCGACAAGCCCGCATGCTTGCTACCGCTCTGCAATGTGCCGCTGCTCGACTGGACGCTCGAAAACCTCGCTCTCGCCGAGGTCGAGGAGATCTTCATCCTCGCCAGTCGTCACTCGGACCAAATCAAGAAGCACCTCGCCACCACGCCCGCCCGATATTCGCTGCCCAAGATCACGGTCATCGCTACGCCAGATGCCCAGTCGCTTGGCGATGTGATGCGCGAGCTCGACAGCAAGCAGATCATCCGTTCCGACTTCATTCTCATCCACGCAGACTCGGTCGCAAGCATGGACCTCGCCAGCATCGTCGACGCGCACAAGCGTCGCAGGAAGAAGGACAAGGACGCCATCATGACCATCTGCACCATGCCTGTCGGCAAGCGCAGCCGCATTCGCACCCCCGGCAACCTCTCTCTCTTCTTCCTCGAGCCTCACACCTCCCAGCTCGTCCACTATGCGCCCGTACGTGCGGCACCTCGCCTCCGCACCACCAGCCTACCCCTCGAAGTCTTTGACGAGGACGCGGCCGCCACCACTCACAGTCTCGCGCGTGCAGCCGAGGTCGACGTCCGCAACGACCTCGTCGATTGCGGCATCGACATCTGCTCTGCCGACGTCCCGCCACTCTTCTCCGAAAACTTCGACTACCAGACTCTCCGCCGCGACTTTGTCCTCGGCATTCTCACCTCGGATCTTCTCGACAGCAAGATCTTCGTCCATGTCGCGCCCACCGGTCCTCCCGCTTCCGCGGTCCAGATCGCCAGCTCCTCCTTCCCCGAGGTCGTCGGCACCTCCAAGTACGGCCGTGGCTACGCCGCGCGCGTCAAGTCGCCCGCCGACTACGATGCCATCTCCAAAGATGTCATGGGTCAATGGACTTATCCTCTCGGTCCCGCCGGATATCTGCCAGGCGGTCAACGATACAGCCCCAGGTCGGGCCTCCGCTTCCTCGGCGACAATGTCGTGCTCAGCCGCACATGCCAACTTGGCCCACACACGCTCGTCGGCAGCCAGTCCGAGATCGGCGACAAGGCATCGCTGTACCAGTCCGTGCTCGGCTCTTCGGTGAGGGTGGGCAGCCGCACAACCATCTCTGGCTCGTATGTTTGGACCGGCTCCGTGATTGGAAGCGGCTGCTCCATCGAGCGCAGCATCGTCGGCGAGCGCGTCACCATCCTCGACGGCGTCAAGTTGAACAAGGGCTGCATCATTGCCGAAGGTTGCACTGTCGGGCCCAACGTAGAGTTGCCTGCCTTCAGCCGGGTCGGTAACAAGAAAGAGAAGTTCGACGACGACTTTGACAGTGACAGCGAGGACGACGAGCAGCTCGACACCGCTCGCACCGGCGCATCAGCATCGAACGCAGCAAAGGAGGCCTTCTCGAAAGGCCTTGGAGCCAAGGGCGTTGGCTTCCTCTGGCGCGCGCTCGGCGAGAAGCCGGTGCGTGCCGAAGCCGACATGGATTCCGAGGCGAGCGACGAGGACGAAGACGACGTGGACGAAATCGAGCGCTCGCACAACTTGCGGCTCATGCGACTGGGTGCTGACCTCGAGGACATGGAGCTCGACGACACCCTTTCGGACATCTCTTCCGTGGGCATCGGTCGTGACTTGGATGACGACGATGACGACGACGGCTCTGGAGCGCAAACGGACAACTCCATGTCGGACGACGACGACGACGACATGCTCGGTGGCTCCATGATGCTTTCCATCGGCGATGGCGAGACCAACGTCGAGAAGCAAGCGGCTGTGAAGCGTCTGGACGAGTTCCGCACCGAGGCGACAGCCTCTCTGGAGCGTGCATTCGAGGAGAACCACACGGTGGACGATGCGGCGATCGAGCTCAAGACGCTGCGAATGGCGTCCAACGTTCCGCTCAAGGAGGTGCGCAAGACGGTCATCGGCTTTATCCTCACCAAGTGCGAGCCGGACCAGCCCAAGCAGATGCTCGCGGTACTCGACAAGTGGTGTCCGCTCATCTCGGTTGTGGCGGTCGACGATCAGATCGAGGCGCTTGCCACCGTGCAGAACTTCTGCGCCACGCAGCCCAAGTACTACAAGATCTTCATTCCGCTGCTCAAGAAGTTCTACAACGACGACATCATCTCGGAAGAGAACATCGTCGGCTGGTGGAAGAGCCCGCTCAGCCGCAAGGCCGACGCCGACATTGGCGGCGACAAGAACCTCCAGCTTAGGAAGGCGGCCGAAGAAGTCATTCGATACATCCTCGAGAGCCAGGAGAGCACCGACGAGGACGAAGATGAGGATGAGGATGACGACGACGAGTAGAGAATTGCGCACCATCTCAATGCAATCCTTCAGGCACCATGAGAGATCGGCGCGGAATAAATAACACAGCAATTTGAGTGGCGCATGGAAGGCTTGGATTGCGCGTGAGACTACCTGCCGATGGCATTGAAGCTAGCAGCGGAAGCGCCGTACTTGAGACGATCGGCTTCCTCCTTGTCCTCCTGTTCTTTCTTGATTCGCTGCTGCTCGACAAGCTGTTCCTGGTCGTAGAGCTTGATGTCGTTGAGCATGCAGTCGAGTTCCGGGCTCACGATGAACTTGCGGTGAAGTTCGCCGAGCGCCGTGGCGGTTCGATTGCTCGGATCGAGCAGCATGACCTGTTGGAGGAAGGTGCTTTGCGAGCCGCCGGTCACCTCCATCACCAGCTCGCCAAAGTGCAGAAACACACGTCCATCACGGTAGACATTGAGCTTGCCCACCAGACCCTCCTTGCTGCTCGATCGGCCGCTGCGCTTGGTGTCGCGCTTCTTGTCTTCTTCCTCCGAATCCGCCGCTTCCGAATCATCGTCGATCTCGGAGCTAGGAGCCACTTCGTCCTTGACCGACGTCGGACGCGCTTTACCGGCCCCGCCAGTGGTGCCTTCGGCAAACGAGACGCTGCGCCTCTTGGAGGACGAAGATTCTTTGCCTTCGCCGGCTTCTGGTGCCGGAGCCGCGTCCGCTGCAGCAATATCCGACTTCTTCGGCGCCTTGAATTTGGGGAAGAGCTGTGGGAACTGGAAGAGGTAGAGGCGGTTCTCGGGACTGGCGTCGTCGTCGTCATGAAAGACGAAGTCATCTACAAGGTCGTCCATAAGCTCCTCGCCCTCGCTTTCACTCAGATCGAGCGCATCGACTGTTTTGCCTCTCTCTTCCTCCTCCTCCTCTGGCTGCGGAGACACCGATGCGCTCGAGATGGCGGTCGAAGTGCCGGAAGTTTGCAAGGATGAAGAGGCACCTGGCTGCAGATCAGGCATGGTATCGTCGTCTTCGGACTTGACGCGGACAGCGCCCGCCTCACGCTCGTCCTTGGCGAGACGATTGTCCATCTTCTTTTGGCGCGCATCGGCGGCCTTCTGTTTGTCCTTTTTGCTTGCCTTCTCGGCCACTCGCGGCAGCGCACGCGGTGCGAGCTCGTCGAGGATATGCACTTCGTCCATGTCGACGATCTCGACACCACCGTCTTCCGGGTCGGAGTACTGCTCCGCCTCCTTGAGCTTGTCCGGGTTGCGATACGAGGCGCGGTCAGGGTCGGGCTTCGGGGTAGTGCTGCTGCGTTGAGATTCGGAGCCTGGTGCTGGAGTGAGGCTGGATCCGCCGGGCCCGATGGGAGCGACCTTTTTGCCGGTGGGACGCGCAGATGGTCCCAGAGCAAATGGTCCCGATGCGGTCATCTGCGTCGGTTGACGAGGCGGTCGTGCGCCTCCTCGGCCGCGACCTCGGCCACCGCCTCTTGTAGATCCGGCTGTGGATCCCGGCGTGGCGAGAGGCGATGCTGTGGAGGATTCGGGAGCTGTCGAGGATGTCGGCGCTGGTGAAGCGGATGCCTTACGACGCTGCGGCATGACTGGACGGAATTGCATGCGGACGCCCGAGCCTGGTCCGGCGGAGCCTGCTGCGCCAGGGGCAGGTGAGGCGTATGAAGACCGGGATGGTACCATCGACGCGCTGGAAGAGACGGAGGCGCCGCGACCGAGGCCGCCACGGAGGGAAGCTGCACCGCGCATCGAAGCCATGCCTCGCAAAGGTCGTGCTGCTGGAGGTGCGGGGCCAGCCTGTGCGCGCGCCTCGGCGGGAGCTGCATTGTCGGACTGACCCGCTGACGAGGTATTGGATGGCTGCTGTGGGTGGTCCGACATGATGCTCACAGCGGCTCGAAGGTCGGCGAGGTTGAAGGAGGGGTAAGATGATGGACGAGGTGAAGCAGCGCCGACCTCAAGAAGGATTCCAGCAAAGCCAGCCAGCCAAAAAACTTGCTTCCCTGAAACCGACTTCCGAAGGGTCCATGACGAAGCCGATGTATGAACATCGGGCGCGTTCAAAAACGCGATCCCTGCAGGCCCTTCCGCCCAACAAAATCCAGGCGAGGCAGGGGCGGTCATCGATAAGTGCTGGAAAAATCGGGCGAGTATGCGCACGGTCTTCGCGGGGCGTTGTTGGGTGCGCAACTCCACTTTCTTGGCCCTCTCTCTGCCTCTGCTTTTCACGCCTTCTGCGAAATTCTCGCATCTTTCCGGGCTGCTGTTGATGCGCCCGCAGCCGTGTTGCGATCGAGCCGCTCGCTGCCCGACTCGGCGCACAGCGGGTGCGCAGCCCAAAAGCTTCCGACGCACGGCCTCCTCTTCCTCTCTCCCTTCTGTCACCACCTCGTCCCCACTTTCTCCACCACCACCATCACCCAATAAACGATCGCATCTCCACAATGTCTCTCTCCAGCAAGCTTGGTATCACCGATGTCGACCTCAAGGACAAGAAGGTCCTGATCCGCGTCGACTTCAACGTCCCCATGGACGGCGACAAGATCACCAACAACCAGCGCATCGTCGCTGCGCTCCCCACCATCAAGTACGCCATCGAGAAGCAGGCCAAGGCGGTCGTCCTCATGTCCCACATGGGTCGCCCCGACGGCAAGCCCGTCCCCAAGTACTCGCTCAAGCCCGTCGCCGCCGAGGTCTCCAAGCTGCTCTCCAAGGACGTCGAGTTCCTGCCCGACTGCGTCGGCTCGGCCACCGAGCAGGCCGTCGCCGCTGCCGAGGGCGGCAAGATCTTCCTGCTCGAGAACCTCCGCTACCACATCGAGGAGGAGGGCAAGGGCACCAACGAGGCCGGCGAAAAGGTCAAGGCCGACGCCAACAAGGTGCAGGAGTTCCGCGCCAGCCTCACCAAGCTCGGTGACGTCTACATCAACGACGCCTTCGGCACTGCCCACCGTGCCCACTCGTCCATGGTCGGCGTCCAGCTGCCCCAGCGTGCTGCCGGTTTCCTGATGAAGAAGGAGCTCGAGTTCTTCGCCAAGGCGCTCGAGAGCCCCGAGCGTCCCTTCCTGGCCATCCTCGGCGGTGCCAAGGTGTCGGACAAGATCCAGCTCATCGACAACATGCTCGACAAGGTCAACTCGCTCATCATCTGCGGTGGCATGGCGTTCACCTTCAAGAAGACGCTCGACAATGTCAAGATCGGCACGTCGCTCTTTGACGAGGCCGGCTCGCACAAGGTGGCCGAGCTCGTCGAGAAGGCCAAGAAGAACAACGTCGAGCTCGTCTTCCCCGTCGACTACATCACCGCCGACAAGTTTGACAAGAACGCCAAGACCGGCTCCGCCACCGACGCCGAGGGCATCCCCGACGAGTGGATGGGCCTCGACTGCGGCGAGCAGTCGCGCAAGCTCTTCCGCGACACCATCACCAAGGCCAAGACCATCCTCTGGAACGGCCCCGCCGGTGTGTTTGAGTTTGACAACTTTGCCGGTGGCTCCAAGGCCATGCTCGACGCCTGCCTCGAGGCCGAGAAGAACGGCTCCACCGTCATCGTCGGCGGTGGTGACACTGCCACCGTCGTCGCCAAGTACGGCGCCGAGGACGGCATCTCGCACTGCTCCACCGGCGGCGGTGCTTCGCTCGAGCTGCTCGAGGGCAAGACGCTCCCTGGTGTCAAGGAGCTCTCGGAGAAGTGAATCCCTGGCCCACACGCCAGACTGTAACCGTGCCTGCCTGCAATGCGCAAAAGTATCCCGTCCAAGCATGTCCTTCGCTGAAAGCCCCTGCCAGAGTGTGTACAGTGTTTGCCTGACAGTTGCGGTCGGTGACTGACGACCCTTCAGCGGTGCATGTGAGACTCAACGTCTCGCATCCGTTTGAATTACGCAAAGCCTATATGAACGCAATATTCGAATGTCGCCGACATGATGGTTTCTTGGCGCAGTTGGTTAGCGCGTCT